GACGGATCCGCATCACCGTCCTGCTGTGCCGGCTCCCAAAATCGTCTCTGCGCTTGCCTCTCCGCCTCTTCGCTCTTGAGCGTGTCGTGCGCTTTGAAGATATCGGCATGCGGGAATCTCTTCCTCGCCTCGGCATCAAATGCTTCTCTAGCGCTCGCTTCCGCATTCAATAAGCGAAGCTCCTCCCGAGCAGCTAATGCGGCCGCTAGATCCGTCTTCGACTCGGCGTGCGTGAGTGTCTGGATCAAAGTTATCGCCTCAGCGGTGCGATCGAGAGCGCGCAACGCCTGTGCCGCGCCGAGCTTCTGCGCCGCACTCGTGGCGCTTTGGAGGTACGCCGTCGTAAAGGCTTCGAGCGTGACTTCGGCCGGCAGCACAGAAGCGAATACTGCGCCGATCGCTTCTCTGACAGGCTCCGGAGCCGAGGTCAGGTCCGGCACTACAATGTTCCGATTTAGGTGAAGATCGTGTCAGGCGATGCGTCTCCCCCGAAAGAGTCTTGTTGCAAAAAGACGCACCTTTCCGCCGCAGCTGGACGATCTGTTTGTGCAGCTGAGGATGATTCGATTGCAGCTTATGTGCATGTGACACCGCGCGTGCTGCAACAAGCCAGTCATCTGCAGCGGGCGCGGGGAACGATAAGCACAAACACAGCTGCGCGCGGAACATTACTTTGCGACTCACTGGACCTCAAGGCCACTTCGAAGGTCGCGAGCCAAGTCTCGACTCTCCTTTCGGCCCTCTCCTGAAGCGTGAGCAGGTAGATCTTCGCAGCTTCGAGTGGCTTTTTGCGAGTGTCAGCTAGCAATTGGACACCATCAGGGTCTTCGTCAGGAGGTGGCGGAGGTACGTCGTCCTCGTCTGTCTTCTTCGTGTCTTTTGCTGGAGACAATCGATGATTCGCGTCAGCAGTATTCGAGCAGCAGTTTGAAGTCTTCTACAGGATACGTACACTTTGCGGCAGCCTTCTTGGCGTCATCTGCTGCCTTGAGTTCTGCTTTCTTGGCTTTCTTAGCGTCTTTGCGCTGCTCCTCAGTGAGGTGTCCTGGTGGTGGAAGCAAACATGTTCGTCAGTGGGCGCCTCTTCTAAAAGTTGGGCAAAGGATCTCACCATTCGAGCCGGGTGCACGGGAATCCCCGTCAGGCTTGTCATGCAACTGGCATAGAAGCTGACGAAGAAGTTGAGAAGATTGGTTCAGCCTCGGAATTTATCTTCGCGAAAAGTTCACGATCTGGTCTCGGCGTGCTGCGGAGCTACACGCACCTTGACCGCTGACAGGGCTGCCCGGAAATAGGCAGGATGCGATCGAAGCTGATCCTCGAATCGCACCATGTCGATGTATGATCTCAAAGTCAACTTCCGCATGCAGTACGAATGGAAGTCGAGCTGATCATCGTAGATCTCTTGGAAGGTCTGCAAGATGGAAGGACTGCGTTGTAAGAGGGATACGCGTATGAATATGGTCACTGGCCCCCAACGTTTCTCGGCTCACTCTGTCTATTTGCGTCAGTCTTTTGAGAGCAAGGGCAAGGTTTCCTGACCTGACGTGCGCGTCCGCTTCCTCTGCCATGTACCAGAACGCTTGCATCTCTATGAGGTCAAACGTGGGTGAAGGCGCATCGGGTTTGGTGAAGAGCGACACAACCTCCGTAGCTCCTTTGACGTCATCGACGCGTAGCAAGTATTTAGCAGCTTTACAGTTCAAGAACCTATCTTGACCATCCAGCAGGCGCGCGTCTTCCATTGCTGATGCTGCGCTGTGTAGTGACCCTCCTCGCTTCAGGACTCGAGCACGCATCATGTGCAGCTCAGGCATTGTCGGGGAGTGCGCGATGGCAGAATCAATGTATGCGAGACCTCGCTCAACGTCGCCCGCCTTGCTGTAGTGCTGTGCCAGGAAGTAAAGAGACCACAAATATGCTGAGGGCTCTTGTTGGTCTCCTGCCGCAGGATTGGCTCGCGTGAGCCGTCCATCAGGGTGCGCGTCTTTCCGTAGTCGTCCTCAAAATGGTCGCTCGAACTCACCTGCGTCGTCCGCAGGAGCCCATTCCATACGCCGCCTCTCTACTATTTCCTCGACCGCTATCCTCTTCTTGTCATCCACATAGAGCGCCACTATATCAGCAAAAATCGATGGCACTCCTTTCTGCAGGGCTGCGGAGATGTATGTCTCTGCTTGATCCCTGAAATCGTCTCCCTGCAGGTATACTAGGGCCACACGCTTCGCGGCGCCAGATTGAGGGAATTTGGTGCTCAACTCTCGCAGTGCGGTTGCTGCTTTCGCGACCCCATCTGAAGACGAGGGAGCTGCCAATCGAGGAGCATTGTCAGCCCCGCCCTCTGCTCACCAAAGCTACCAAGGATTTCTTACCTGTCTCGACGCCCTTTGCCTTCAGCCAATCTCTGATCACTCCCAAATCTTCGGCGTTCCACCTCAAAAGCTGCTCGAGTTCCTCCGCTGCCTTGTCGCTACTGCCTTCCGCAGCATACGCCCGTGCTATGAGTAGTTTACTCGCCTTCTTGTCATACACTGCCTTGTTTGCCGGGCCTTGCAGAAAGGTGACGACATCTGCGTGGCGCCCAAGCTCGAACAGGATTTGAGCACGGTACAGATGAATTTCTGAGAGCTCAAAAGACCGAGGCGGCGTATCCCGGAAAGTATCTGTGAGGCCGGAGATAATCCTCAGAGCCTCGTCCAGGGAGCCAGCCAAGTGATGAGCGACGGCTAATCCAACCCAGCTGAGTCGCAAGTGAGGCTGAAGCTTGAGCAGTGCGAGTCGAACATCTATCAATGCAGGGTAATTGCGTTGCTGCATGTGCAAGTACGACATTTCCCTTTGCAAATTGACATTGTTGCCCTGAGCATGAGAGAGTGTCAGTACATGTCCACATAGCTGATGGCGCAAACAGTGAACCAGAACTCACCCCTTCGATTCGCAAAGCCATACCATAGCATTTAACTGCCTCTTCCCAATTCTTCTCCATCCGACATAAAATACCCAGGCAATGCCAGGCCAAGAAGCTTCCAATGTCGTGCCTGACGCCTTTCCTCGCCAGCTCTATTCCCTCCGCCCTTTGATTCATGGTGGCCAAGATGAGTCCCTTCATGCATAGCGTCTCACCCGCTTCGGGAAACTTTTTGAGAATAGTGTCTGCTGTCTTGAGACCCAGCTTGTACTTCTTCGTCTCGTACTTTTGAGAAATGCAAAGGAGAAGGAGGGTTAGCAAAGGAAATAATCGATTTGCACGGCTTCGCCTGCTTACCTCCTGGATGAGCCGTTTGAAGAGGCCTCGCTCCTTGGCCGGTAACTCTTTCTTGGGCGGCATTGTGAGCGCCAACTTGCTTGCAACGCTGCTAGTTCCGGAAGACTCGCTGGAAGGTCGAGATTGACGCTGATGGTCAAAGCGAAATCTTGAGAAGATTGAGTCCCAATGAGGATCCCAGTGTCGCTGCTCTTTGCTAGCATACAGTTGGGCTGCGAGCCAACTCTGCAGAATGAAAGTGGAGTGCGATGACGCAGCAGAAGTGTGAGTAAGGCAGTTTGCGGAGCTGATGCACTCAAGACTAGCGAGTGACCTTTCGGAGCGGTTGGTCGGCCTGGCGCGTGCGTACCGTACCGTCTTCTGAAGGAGGATGTGCATGTGACCTGGATTCCTGACCGGCAAGTGATGTGAGTGCAGAGCCACGTGGAGGTAGTCACTCGTCTTGAGTGTGTGTCTGTGCCCAAGATGAGTCGTGCACCGGGCCGCGCGGAGACGGACCAATTGTCTGCAGTCACGCTTGCATGGCCAGTAACGTGGTATATATGTTGGCCCGTTGGGAGCGTGTTCAGGGGCCATCAAAAAGCAGGCTGGTAATCAAGAATGCAATTAAGCAGACGCGCACGGTGGCGGTGCCAGTCGACCAATTAAAGTCCTAGTCACAATTTAAATGTGTTCGCATCGACCTGAAAGGCTGATGAA